TAGTAATCTCAGATGAAAATAAAAAGAAATCTCAGATGACATACTATAAGACATCTCAGATGACATACTATAAGAAATATTTGAAAAAATGAAAACAATCATTCTCAAAATAATGGCATTTTGTCCTTCCTAACTAGAGATGAATGATATCATATTGAAATAATTTTCTAAGTTTCTAAGAGGGTAAAAGGAAAAATCTAAACCTAGTTTCCAGATTTTAGATTTATTAAAAGTGAAATTTATGAAAACTAAGACCAAGCATACCATTAAGCAATAAACCTGTTGAAACAGTTATTGTACTTACAACCTTCTAAACTCAAATAAGTTTTAAGTCAATAAATAACTTAAAAATTGTAAACAATTTCTTCATCTGATACTGAATCTATGTCATCAGGAAAAAATTATTAAATTTACCCATATTGTCATTTTTTAGGGTAAAATTTCACATTGGCCTCAGCCCTCACAGAATATTATGATAGTCTATCAAATACTAAGGGAAAAAAAAGTGTTATCTAAATTTGTTATACCCAACCAAATTATTCTTGGGTAAACAGGACAACAGACATATAGAACAAAAGATATGTAATCTTGAAAAAACTTAGAGAAGGTAGTATATACTCAAATTATATTGAAAAATTAATGAACATTTGGATCAAATAAAGAGCTCATGAATGAGCAAGAGCATGTGAACAATCACTAATTGCATTTAAATGTACAAATAAGACTAAGTGAGTTAGAATTTCATATGGTCTCAAAGAACTGCACTAATGTTAGAAAATCTGAATTAAATTACATGCATCAAAATGATAGAGAAGGAATGAAGTGTGAAGAAAAATGTGTTTATTTCATACTTCTTAACAAACAATCATTAAGGGTTTCTGCACTAAACAAGTGCTCAATTTTCCTCAATCCAGAAATACGTCAAACTATGTCAAAGTTTGAAAATCAAGTAAAATATCTTGTAAATAAAATATATCAATTCCTTCAGGTTGGGTACTATTGAAAATAGATCTTTAAATACATATGAAACAAAGTCTTTTTAAATTTATTAATAGTGCTTCAGGATGAAGATTTAGCTCAGCATCATGGCACCTGCCTGGCAAGCATGAGGTCCTGAATTCAGTTCCTGGCACCAAAGGGGGGGGGGGGGAATATATATCACGTTTTCCTATCTTCTCATTCTGCTCATTTAAATAGGTGAAAGTACCCGTAGAGATTTTTCATGTTTAAAATAATTTTAATTGACATATATAAATTATGACAATGGAATTCACTGCCATATTGAACATATGCATAGAGCATGCACTAATGAAATCCAGAGTGCTTTCACCTACCTTTTCCCCCTTATCCTTTTCCACCTCTAGACTCTTCACCCTTATTTTTTTTTTTCAATTTCCTTGTCATATATGAGACAGGACATACAGTATGTGTCTCTGTTTCAGGTCTACTTCACGTAACATAATGTCCTACAGTTTAATCTATTTTGGGGCAAATATCATCAGGATTTCATTCTTTTTTATCACAGAATTCTGTTCTATTAACACATTCTTTTTTATCACAGAATTCTGTTCATTTAACACATTTTCTTTATCCGTTCATCAGTTGATGGGCACCGAGACAAATGCTTTAGCTAAGCTCTTATGAATAATGCCACAAAAATGGGGGTACATGAACGTCTCTTTCATATGCTGATTTCATTTCCCATGGGTGTATGCTCAAGAATGGAACAGCTCCATCACATGATAGACTTATTTATAGTTGTCTTCATGATTCTTCATCTGTTCTCCACAATAGCTGCATTAATTTGTCTTCCTACATTCATACGTTATTATTTCTAGCAAGATTGAATGGAGTAACTTGTTCTTTTATTTTTTTTCCTTTTGCTAAAAGGTCCAGGTGTATTACTGAAAAAATAAAAGTAAAAGATAAAATAAAAAGATCATGCTTAAAATATGTACAAATAATTGAATGAAAATCTGTAAGAAATAAGGAAAATCCCTTAATAAGAAAATTATAGACACTAATTATAAAATTAAACATGAATTAAAGAGATTTTAGCATATCCAATATTGTAGACAATTTTCTATTGCCCTCAATGAATATTATGGACTGTGTAATTTGTAAAAGTTTATGTGTATTGAATCACAGCTTTCTAAATTCAAGAGCACAGAACTATTAATTTGATCCCTAGTGAGGGCCTTTCATATTGGTCGTGACAGGGCGGAGTTCACCACAGGGAGCACAGAATGAACCTGGTGACTTTGGTCTCCGCTCTGTGTTCTTACAGCCACTGGTGAAATCATGAAGGGTCGATTATGATATCCCTATCTAACTACCTCCTGAAGGGCCCTGTCTTCAAGTACCAGTAATGTGGCACTGAGGATTAACTTTGACCCTGGCTTTTGATAAGACAAATATCCAGACCATAATGTAGTAAGCAGGGCACATGTGGCATAAAAGTTACATCTCCGTGAACAGCAAAAATCATAAATTTCTTGGGGCAAACTTAAAATTTTCAAAACTTGTATGGAAAAACTAAAAATTCTTTCAGCCAGAAATACCACTTCAGTAAAAGGCAAGAAGGACTTGATTCTTGAATAGGATGAGTTAATATTTAATGCAAAGATATACTTCCATCTAGCAATTTATTAATTGATTCATCTGAAAATCTTGATAGATTATTAAAACAAAATTGAGACCTCACAAACCATTTAATTGTATGCTGAAATTTAGCACAAATATAGATAACATTTTATACCAGTCAGAAGAATCAAACATTTCAGAGGAAACTTAGTAAAGCGTTGGGTTGGTAAATATTTCTTTCTGATAGCAATGCATCCTGGGGGAATAAGATATTTAAATATAAAAATGCTATTATAACATATTTAGATAAAAAAGAATAAAAAAACACATTTAGATGAAAACATGAGTGGCCGGCTATTTTACTATATTGAAACAGTATCTGAATCTGAATCTGTACTGAAACTATATCTGAAACTGTATCTCAATCTGTATTTTAAGAGTTTCAGTGTGTCAGAACAACAATGTTAAATAAAGTAGCAGGGCTGGGGACTTAGCTCAGTGGCATAAGCACCTGTTTGGTAAGTGTGAGGTCATGGGTTCGATTCCTGCTTCCCCCCAAAATAAATTATTTAATTAAAACTTTTAAAAATAGTGTTATCAAGGCTTTGAGAAAATGAGTACTCATATGCATTTTGGGAAACTTAAATTGATATAGTTTGGAGACAAGTTCACCAATTATACCAGTATTTGCTTTGTTTTCTTTTGGCACAGGGAATTGAACCCCTGACCTCACACTTGTCAGGCAGGTGTTTATGCCACTGAGCTAAATCCCCAGCTTGTACCAGTATTTGAAATATTCGTTTTTCTTGATCTAGAAGCTCCCCCTCGTTTATATATGAATCTTTATGACTGTAATAAATAGCTATCCTTGTGCTTAAGTGCTCTTGAAAAAGTAATGTAGTTGTAACAGACAGGACTCCTGCCTTCTTGCATTCAAAATTTTTTCTCAAGGAATGAAACATATTTTTCCATGGAGGAGAAAAAAAGACACACTTTAGAGATCCTTATTTGCACAATAAGGTCTTTCCAGGCCTTAGACATTTTTGTGCTTAAATTTGAATTTTAGTTCTTGAAGACAGCATTTTCAGATTCCCTCAAATTTAGTTTGGCCCAACTTAAGATTAGACAAACTAGTTTATAAAAATGTATATATTTTTCTCCATCATAGTTATATTTTTGATTGAATAAGAAAGCATAATCTGTCAACAAAATAGTATATTTATACATTTCTTACTATATACTAAACATTTTACTGAACTCTGTGTAGTTTTTATCTCACTTTATCCCTAAATTCATCTAAAAGTAGTAATATTTATGCCCATCACATATGTCAACAAATTAAGGAATGGTGAGTATAAATATGTTATTATTAATAGACAATACACTAAATAAATCAAAGCATAGATATACGAGATAATCTAATAGGATCAACGTAATAAAATAATCTATATTATTTGACATGGATGTTTATTCAAAAAATTAAGTTTAAAATTAGTTATCAGTATAGCATTGGTTATATGAATCGCATGTGAAAACTTCTCTAAATTCTTTACTATGTCAACCTACTACTAATTACCTCTGGTCAGTTCTATATCTGCTTAATATTTATAAGCTCCTGCTTGCATAGAAAAACGTCTGGAGAATGGTTTTCAAAATAACAAGAATTTATTTGTAGATCATTAACATTTGGAGTCATTTTTATGTTTTTATTTTATCTATTTTTAAGTAATTGCTTGGCTTTTCTAGCCGTAAGTCTACCCCACCCCCAACACTGATCCCCCTCTTCCAAAACAACAAATGTTGTTGTTCCCTTGTGGTTTGATTTGCTTTGGTTTAGCTCGGCTTGGTTTAATTTAGTGTGGGTTTTTGAGAGAGAGTCTCACTATGTAGTCAGCAGTTTTCTTGCCTCAGCTTCCCAAATGCTGGGTTATTTCCCAAATGTGATGGGAATACTCCACCTCACATGGCTTTGCTCACTTTTTTGTGTGTTGTGCTAGGGATAAAATTTAAGGCCCGTGTAATTAAGCACTCCATTGCGATGCATCCAGAGCTCCAAATGCTGTTTATGAAGAGAAAAAAAAAAAAAAAAAAAAAAAAAAGCAAAAAAAACAAAAAAAACCAGTAAAATTATAGACTAAATTCACGTTACAAAACCTCATAGATATTTTGTGTGTTTGTATGATTTAATTGATACTCATCTTCAGTGTTAAATCACATACATCATATAGTCAGTATTTATGTGCAATAGAGTTATAAGTGATGCTAAAATCTTCTCTTGTGTCTCTTAATTTTTCAATTTTTCCTTAGCAGGTGTTATGGTTTGATAACTAGTGGTCAGCTTAACGCCAGCTGGATTACATCAGCATGCATTGAGAGAAGATGCTCCACCTGAGGAGGGTTGCCAGGATAAATAGGTGGAGAAGAAGGGAGGTGTGGAGAGGGATTGAGGCGTTATGGAGGCATTGTGGGTTCTCCTACGAGTTGCTGTCTGAGCTGTTGGTTCTCCTGGAGAAGCTCTGGTCTTCACATCGAGCATTGCTTCCTGGCTCCAGAGGGGAAGACATGTGCTGCCTGGTCTCCAGGGTGAACTCGTCATGCTGCTTCCTGGCACGTACCTGACTGTGCTTGTCGTTGGAGGAGCTTGGGGCCTCCATGTCGCTGAGGACAGCTGTGATGCCTTTCAGGACAGCCCCGCTCTTTGTTGTGAGTGTGACTTCTTGGCTCCAGTGTAGAACCCTCATCCCACTAGCACAGCTCCTTCAGCCTGCTGGCATGGACTTTCTGGTTTCCACCACTGACCCTTGGGTTTTCCTGGCACGAATCCGTAAAAGAGACTGGTGTGAGTCTTTCTTGTGAGCTCTGGACTTCCAGTTGGACTCGTGGAGGCGTTGTCCTGAGTTCTGGGTTTTTATCTGGACTCATGTGGGACATTGCCGTGGGGTTTAGGCTCTTGACTTAAATAATCTATGTTGTTGGTGTTGCAGATAGATTTCCTGCATTCTCCTGTGTTAACTTCCGGTGACCATTATAAAAATATTATAAACTCCATGTCCTGATCTGAATTGTTCTCTGTGTACAACCCCTGACTACAACAGCAGGCTTATCAGACTCATGTAATATTTAGGAGCATTGACATACAGACACATTAAAAATCAAAATGCCAGCATGTATGTCCTATGTATTACATATAAGCTCTTTTGATCTGCAAATGGGTTGAATTCAAGCATTATATTTATTGAAACATATATTTAATAATAGCTGTTTTGTATCCTATGCTTCTAAAATGCCAAGCATCCTCTTCTCTGACCTTAGTCTTTCCCTGTCCCTCAGTTTTATCATTGGTGTTTGCATCTCTGAGATTTTCTTCTCCTTTCTGGATTTCTTCTGCAGAATCTAGAGTTTAAACTCATCATCATTAATTGCACAGACTTAATGGTGCTCTTTATTGCTTTCAATGCAGATTTCTATTCTGTTTTGCATTTTTAATCTCCTTGTAATCTTTATCACGTCAAACTCCCACTTTGACTTCTATCTGCCTCTCAGCCAACTCCCTTCTTATCTCAGTGTATTTTCATATAATCGCATCTTTCATCTCTCTATTCAGACTACGGTTTTCACACTTTATTGAGAGTACAAAGCACACAATTTCTGCTATTTATGTTTTCTTTTGTGCCTTTTTAAAGTGTAACTTTTCTGCATTTTAATTGTCCTCTCCTCATCTCAATGTGTGGAATATTTTCAATGAAACTATTTTTCCTATTCTGTTTTCAGTGTCATCATTTTTTAAACAATAGAGCAGCTATCTATGGGTGAGGATAGACTGGATCATTTTCTTACACTCAGCTCTCAATTCTTGTTAAAGAAATATCACTCTCAGATCTCAAGCATAAAGGCTGGTTGATAGTCATGGATCAATGCCACATTTATGTTGTCTATTAGTCCTTTATCTAAAGATGACATTGAATTTAGGAGACATTTCCTGTTCCTGAGTTACTGTTTATTTGCTGTGAGGAGGCTGTATACTGTAGCAATTTAGCTTTTACATTAAAATTGTGCATTGGAATGCTGGGCCCACCAATTAATAAGAGTAATTTATCTACTTCAAGACCTGTATTAGTCCATCTATAAAATGAGTACTATAATTCTATAATAGCACATACTTCACTGAATCATATGATGATTGATAGTATTTCTGAACATATCAATGACTAAAGTACTTTAAGCATATTAACTCACAAAATAGCTATTATTATTGTCACATTATAGGACAGGCACACTATAGGACTGTTGCATGCTAAGTAACTTTTTCAAGGTCACACACCTTATAAAATAGAACTTTGGTTGGAATTTAGGAAAGCTGTTGTCCAGTTCGATATTTAACGTAGGTTTGCTATTATTATTATTATTATTATTATTATCATTATTACTTGAGGGAAATATATTTACAGATAATCTAAAGTACTGAGTAGTTCTCTTTTTTCCTGAAACAGTATTATCAAAATTCAGTGTTTCAATTAGGGAGCTTTTTTCTCTTTCCATGTTTTCATATTGATGAGGTTATACTTCAAGATATAGATATGACTTAGCAAAACTCTTCTGCCTCCAAGTCTCCTGAAAGTTGTTATTTCTGAATATATTAGAAAGGAGAAATCTAAATTGGGGAGCCTAGGATAGACTCTGTGTGTGTGTGTGTGTGTGTGTGTGTGTGTGGCTGTAGGTCATCATTTTCATTTGCAGTATATACACACACATTCACAAAGCTATTTTAGAATTTGTGTTGCATGTTCTGTTTGGTTGAGTTGGATCTGTAAAGTCTACCTTGGCTGGAAGTTGTCACAGATTTTGCATTTCTGAGCCAAGGCATCGGTAAGTATGGTGATGAGCTTCTGCATTGTCCTTCCTGTCGGCAGTTTTGATCTTCCTCAAGTGACAAGTTATGTGCTAATGTCACCTGACAATTGTGTTTCTCTTTTACACTTCATGAATATTGTAATTAGAGGAAATTCATCTAAGATTTTGGCAGTAGATTAGTTGTCAATCTTAGTTTCTTGGTTTATTATGCATCTTATCTTTTTCTGTGTTTTCCTGATATTTTATCATGAAAATCACAAAGTCTGAAATGAGAAATGCTCTTCGAGCACATTCTTAAGCTGCTCTCTCTTGTTTAGTTTCATCCTCACTTTTTAACCCTAAACACACACACACACACACTACAGTGTCCATTTCTCTGGTCCATTTCTCTGGAGAATCGTAATTATAAGTAATAGAGTGTTGTTTTAACAAACAATTAAGTATATGGAGGTAGTTTTGTAAGTGAAATAACTAACAGGGGCTAGAAATTTCAGAGATGTATATTAGACAAAACTGATGTGATGTGAACTTTAAAGGTGATTCTTATGAGGAAAGCACAGGAAAAGTTAGTACAGCTATATAAAAAGCTTCTGCCAGGCCTGGGGATTTAGCTCAGCGGCAAAAGCGCCTGCCTTGGAAGCAGGCAGTTGTGAGTTCCATCCCCGGTACCAATGAAAAGGAAAAAGACAAAAAAAAAAAAAAAACTTCTGCCTTCTTAAAGTATATTAATAATTATGTATATGATATTGACTTAAATATGAATATTTAGGATGATTCTGGTGTTTAATAGATAATGGAGAGAAATTCATCTTTGGTATGAAGTGGAAAAGAACTTGAATGAGTTGTGCTCACGTTCTAGCTTGTTATGGAAGGCCAAACTTGGTTACTGTGATGGTTTATGTTGGTGGCCCTCAGGCTTCATGCATTTGCATTTGTACATCTGTGATTGGTTCATTGTCTAGCCCTTGGATTGATGGTGTCAGTGCTCCACCTATCTAGGGCTGGAGCCAGCAGGTAATGTAATGGCAGGAAGAAGGCATGTCTCACTCTCTTGCCGGTTTCTTCCTTGCTGATTGCAGCCACCATGAACTGCGGCCCTGCCATGCCACCCTGCCTTGGAGCCAACTGAGTATGGACTGAAACCTCCCAAATCTGTAAGCAATAAACCTTCTTTCCCTAACTTTGGGCATCAGGTATTTTGTCTCAGCAACAAGTAAAAACTAAGACAGTTACCTTGCTGAGGAGATTTCAAAGCACAGTTTTGAAAGAGTGACCACCTTCCTCCTATTGCTTACAGTAAAATGCAAGGAGAGAAAACATTGTTAAGAAATTGTAGCAAAAAAGGGCCCAAGAATGAAAAAGTTGGAAAAATGTCAGTCAATCCATATTACAAAAAAAAAAAAAAAAGAAAAGAGGGAAAAAAAAAATCCATGTCTGAAGAGAGCTCCACGCATGTGGCTAAGTAACCATTTGATAAGGTTAGCATGAATGTGAGCTGAGCACCTAATTGTCCATGCAAAGGAGCCAGGCATGAAGATGGGATCAAAGTAGCAGGAGCACTGCCAGATGAGACTGAAGGAAGCAGGCAATGTGATTAGGAAAGGCTGCAAACTCATGCTACCCTTCAAGAAGGGGAAAGAAAGATCCCAAGGCCGTTTAGAGCACAATAAGGCTGCTATTACCACAGGGAAATTGTAAAGTTCTGTTGTGGCTTTTAAGGATTGGATTGCTTCTCTGGTTTTGGAGTTTCAAGTTGCTCCCACCCAGTGCCTGAAGGGAGCACTATATTTAGATGAGCCTTTGACAACAGAATTTAGAATTGATGATGAAAAGAGCTAAGAAGTTTGGGATAGTTGGATTGGAATTAATCCATAAAAAGGACATGGATTTTGGACAGAGACAAAGTATCATGGAATGTTCGTGTTTGCTCTAAATTCATACATTAAAGTAGCCTAACATGATAGCATTAGAGGCAAGGGCCTACTAAAAGTAACAAATTGATGAAAGTGATTCCCCATGAATGGGACTAGAGTGCTTATAGGAAGATACGGGAGTGATGATTCTCATTCAGCTGTATTGAGACTCAATGGCCATCTGCAAACTGTATGGTGCTGTCCTCATCAGACAACAGATCTACCAACTTTCAGAACTTTTCTGCCTCCAGAAGCATAAGAAATAAATTTTCCTTAATTAAGTCACTCAAACTCTGACAATCTATTGTAATAGGCCAAAGAGATTAAAACAGAGATTTCAAGAAACTTTAGCCAATTCTACTTAATTTTGAAAAATGAGATAGAAAACTATCTTTCAAGAAAGCAATAAGAGACATATTGGAATATGATAGAGCTTATAAATGCTTACAACTAGAAGCACAGTTTCCTGAAGAAAGCAAAGGAAGTGAAGATGTCCCAGCAGTTACTGTGGCTTGAGATGAAAGAGATGATGGCAAATAAGGGCTTGTCCAGTAGAGAGACCCAGGCAGTAGCTTCTAGACAATCCCTGAACTAGGAGGCAGAGGGAGGCGGAAAGGCTTTAACCACTGGGTTTGTAAAATGCAAAAGTGGGACTTTTTTGGAACTCAGGTGCTAAGAAAATACATCATGCATGCATTCAGGATAAGGTATGGAGGCAGAACCTTTTGAAAACTACATTCTATTAAAAACTTCCAGGGAAATACTGTTATAGAAATCTCACCTCCTACTCCTTTCCTCCTCCCATCTGTTCTAATACCCTTCTGACTTTGACCTTTATTTGTTAATTTTGCTGTTACTGCTGCCTGCAGGTTCAGGGATTACACTTGACTTTCTTCAATAATTTCTAAACATATTTGCCTTCCAATATGCTTTTGTTTTTGCATTTTAATTTTTTACCCTTCATTTAAATGGCCAGTTTGGAAACAGTTCTATGTAGCTAGTAACTTGGTCTCACCTGGTTAGGTTCCAATGAAGGTGAGATTTAACAAAGGGTCAAGGAGATTTTTGCTGCCAAGTGTGGTTGTGAAGACTTTGGCACTTGCCCCAGATTGAAGATGACATTCCAAAGATCAGTTTTGCAGACAGGAAGATGTCATGTTGAAGAATGAGGGTTCTTGCTTCAGTGGTGGAAAGCAATCAGGTAAACTGGCTGCTGATCAGGATTAGGACGAGTGGCCTTCTAAGGAGCCTGATGATATGCTAAAAAGCATTGGTTGCTTTGTTGAGATTCCCACACTTGGTCAGACATTTTTAGTAACAAGCAGAGCCGAAAGTTTTCTTCCCCTGATTACATTAGTTAAGACAACACCAGAGGCCCAATACTGCACTTGGCATCTAGTCCTATCATCCTGTCTTGTTCTACTTGACAAACAAGTTTGAAACTGTCACCAGCATCCTGACCAATTCCCCGTGCTTTGTACTCCTTGGCCCCAGACATCTGGAGAGTTGAGGGCCTGCCATCAAATCTCAGATTTTCATTCCCTCCAAGTCTCTGCAATGTATGTCCTCAGTTGAAAGGAAAAAATATGGCGTGGTTGATCATCCCATTGCTGAACTCCAAATTCTCAGTCACATTTCATTTTCTGCTTTAGAAATGATTAGGTGCTCTGTGAGAGGTGACCTTTGTGCTCTGACCTGGACTTTTTACATGTTATCTGGTTTAACTTTCTCATCCCTTCTGTGGGTCCGCTTTGACATCAATAAATTATCCTTGCTCTATTCCCGAGTATTTTCAATTGTCTTTTTTGTCTTTTCATTCTCTCTACCTCAGACTCTGTCCATCCTCTGTATGCACTGCTATTCTTACAAGCTCCTTACACCCCCTCTAAGGCAATCTTTCCTACGCAGTGTCAGGGAAGAGACAGATAAATTATGCAAGCTTTCTTTTCAAGATTTATAATTACATTTTGACAAAAAATTATTGATTATTCAACACTGTCCCAGGTTTTGTTAATAAAGTGATCAAAAGACAATTTCTGCTCCTAGAGGAGCTCACACTTCTTTGCAAAACAGCAAAGAGATGCAGAAATAGGTAGTTTTAATGCAGTTGATAAATACTATAGAAAAGATATACATCAAATGTCTAAGAATATCAATGATGGGAAAATATAGTTTGTCTGTAGGTAGGAGAAAGCTCCAGGCTAAATCTAACAATTGGATAGCTGTTTGTTTGTTTCTATATAGTCAAAGAGCTTTAAATAAACTGTAGAGTGCTAGAGAGAACGATCTTCATATTTTTTATCTATGAAAAAAAAAAACAACAAAAAACAACAACAACAACAACAAAAAAAAAAAAAAACCAGACTCCAGGAAGTTGAATGAAGATGTCCAAATTCAGAGAATACATTTAAGACAGTGCTGGGATTTTGTGTTACTCAGGAAAGTTAAAATAAGCAAACTCTCAGAATCCAAATGGCTTAACACAGTAAAGGAAATCCTTTCAGCAAAGCCCGTAATCATAGATTCTGATCTGAGCTGTGTGGCCTTCATCTTTGTGCAGGTATGTTTTCGGAACACCTGGCCTCCAAAATTATCCATGCAGAGAAAGAGAAATACAAACAATTGCCACAGTTTGGATGTTGAATATCCTCCAGCAGATTGTGTAGACCACTTGGATGGCTCTCCTTGAATGAAGAACAATTACCATTGCTTCGCTAAACCTGGCCCCGTCTCCATGAACTGGTATGTACAGAACTGACTAACCTATTTCCTTCTCCCCTCAATTAGCTCTAAGCAGTGTAAATAAGGCTAGATAAGGTACTGATGTATAATCTTTGAAGCCATCCAGCAGTCTCCTGTCTCCCTGCCTCATGTCTCCCTATAAATGGTTGAGCATAGTGGGATGGCAGAGCCTCATAGCTCCAGGAATGTCACCTGAGTTTGAGTCTCAAAATGAGAGGCTATGACCTCTCAGGACACAAAAATTTGCACGTCAGAAACTGAAATAATAGCCTCCACTATGCCAGTTGACTTATGTAGCTTGGTCTTGTGTACCCTTCTCTCTGTATATTGCAGAAGTGTTTTCTAGCTACTTGGCTAACTCAGATCATATTATTCACATAATTCCAGTAGTTCTCACTGTCATTTATGCTGGAGCTACTTTGTTTTTCATGAATTCATAACTTCTGGGTGAGGTGCTGGGGCAATGCCTATGTCCTATGAATTCTCATCCGGATCACACTTGATTCTCATCACAGGTTACACTGCAGGTGATAGATTGGAATTAACTCATCTGGATGCCAATAATCTTTCAATCGAATTTCACTTCCCAGATTATGGAGGAGGACAGGAAAAGGAATTCCACTACTGGGATTACAATAGATTGTATGTTGAAGAGCAGCATTCCTGGAAGGTGGCGTGAGGCTTGCGATTATGCATGTAAGTCACTGTACCTCACGGAGCCTGGAGGACCCCAGCCCTCTCCTTCCCCTCTCTGCTCCCTGGACATGAGGGGAGCAGTTTCCTCTGCCACTCATTCCCACAACAAAGTGCTGCCTCCTTGCAGGACCCAGATAATCAGGGCAACCGACCAGATCCTGGGACCTCTGAAACCATGAGCCAAAAAATCCTTTGTCTTTATAAATTGCTGATTGCAGTCTTTCATTTGACTCTTTGGTTTATCTCAGGTTATTTTTAATGGAACGCTGACTATCACAGAGTATAAGTGGGTTTGCAATTGCTTCGCTTTCAAACTGAAAGATGTCACTTTGTCTCAATTCATTGATATACACAAACTTGATTGCTCCCATGTGAAAATATATATGAATGCACGAAATTCACTGAATCCAAACTATCTCTGCTATGCTCAAACTGTCTTGGGATTTTGATTCTACTACAAAGTCTTCTGGGCTTTGTTCTGTTTTGTTTTGTTGGATTTTACTGTCTAAAAACAAAACAAAACAAAAACAAAACAAAACAAAACAAAAAAAAAAAAAAAAAAACACAAAGAAAGAAAAGAGCCTTCCAGTTCATCCAGTTCATGCTGGTGGAGTTGGGGAGAGCTCAAAGCATATGTATAAGAGAGAGGCGTGGGTGGAACAATGTGAGCCACTTCATTGGTTGTCACAGATTCAGTTATTTTCTTAGTGAGGGGAGTCTTTATTTTCCCCTCTGTTTTACTCATAAGTTGAGCCTTATGTTGTTCAGGGCATGACCATCATTCTAGACAACAGAATTTAAAAGACTTTTGATGGTGCAGCATAGGACATCATTGTGTTAAACATTGTGTGATTATAACTGCACAATGAAATGACTAGCATAGTAAATAATAGCAGTAGAGCTGTCTTTGAAAGAAAAGGTCAATATTATACCTGCATGCTGATAGGAGAGATTAATATACTCTTACTATTATTAATAATAGTAATTAGGCTCTGTTGCGTTAGCTGATAGTCAGGTCCCATTTATAGGAACAGGCTAATGTGCTTCTTGAGCATGACTTGGCATTATTTTAGCCCTTCAATTAAAAGCGTTGAAAATCAGTGCCAGGATCTTCTTATCATTTTATTAGCTTTTTGGCACTTGGATTTTTTATTTATATTGGGCTTACTTTTCCACCTCTGGAAAGTTAGCAAGAATTTTTATACAAAAAGAAGAAGCCTTAATGCTTAACATCATTTCTGACTGGGGGCATCAGGATAGATCTTTGCATATTTTGCATCATTTAGCACGGCCACTGATACAAATTAAGAAGACAGGCATCCTTCTCAGGACAATGAACACTTGTTCTTAGCTACAGAGTGAGGAGATAGCAGTCTTCAACTGAGATGACTAGCCAGGGAAACCCTTTGGAAGACCAGGAGTGGACACAGAACTGGAAGTGGAAAGAAGGGACCACTAAACTGCCTGTTTGGTGACCAGATGATGAAATTTTTCCCTGTTGTACTTTATAGTGATTACTGTGTGAAATGCTTGCAGAGATGTAAAAATGTGTCAGGATGATCCTTGTTTAAAAGTTAAACATAGGAGGATAATTTAAGTGTTTCTTTGGTTCAGATGAATTTTCCTCTCTGTTATACTCCACACCTTGAATTTTCACTAATATCTCCAATTTTGGATTAAGGCATGAAAGGTTTTTATTAAAATGAACCAGTGCTACCTGGTAGGGGTAAGCTATTTACTCTTTTATCATTAATTTCTAACTGTGAATAATTAAAACAAGATTTCTTCACTCAGTTAAGTCTTGCAAAAGAATCATGTTAATGTTTCAAAGTTTAAAATTTATTGCATGCTGGAGTTGACATTGAAAATTGAGTTACTCTCCTATTTGTTGCATTAATAATCTTATAAGATGAGGTAGCTAGAACAAGTAGTCTCTTTTAACCAAGGAAGCACTGGAGACTCTGATTGATATATTTCTGTTCAAGGACATTCTGGAGGACTGGGTTGTATTATAGCTGAGTACCGAGGGAACAGAGGAAGTGGAGATCCCCAGGCAGGCTACTTCCTTTTGGATCAGCAGGGAGCTGGTTTGTAATTAAAGTATGCAGGCAAATTTAGAGGGTGTGGAGGGAATCTAGAGAGGGGGAACAGAGAGAGAGAGACAGACAGAGAGAGAGAGAGAGAGAGAGAGAGAGAGAGAGAGAGAGAGAGAGAGAGAGAGAGGAGGGGGGCTTCTAGCAACAGCCAACAGTAGTATTACTTATCTTTTCTTGAGCATCTATTAAGTGTGAAGTGCTAAACTAGACTCATCAATAATTTTATTTTATCTTCTTTATAATCCTGTAAGACAATAATGTTCCAAAGTTACAAATCAGGAAGGAAGACTTTAGGACAGTTAAAAATCTTGCTCAACTAAAAGTGGCAAACTATTTCCCCATTCCTAACGCCCACATTCTTTTGGAGCCACATGTTACAGTGCAAGAAAGCAAACAAAGAAAAGGTCACAGGAGGGCCTTGAAACAAATATCCCTTTCTTCACGTCTGTCTCAGGCTTGGCTTCTCTGCCCTTCACCTTTCCATTAACTCTGTAACCCGCAAAGAACAGAAATTTTATCACATTCAGGACAAAGTAAAGACTTCAAAAAGTTTTCCCAAGTCTTTTTCGTCTTGCCAAGTTGGAGACGATTATGCCAGACCTTTCACGTATTTATACAGTAACTCTCTTATTGTTAATGTAAACTAATAAAAAGTACACTTTATTTGTGTTCCCAATAAGATGGTTTTCGTCTGCCTTACTGAAAAATGTGGCTGCCCGGTGTTGTCCTCTGACACCAACAGTTACTCCCAGCGAGTGTTGGGTGCAATACAGTCTAGCAAAAGCTTCTGACCTGATTTTTTTCTCAAGCCAAAGTCATGTAGGGCAAAGAGTGAGTGACACACTGCAAAGTGGGAAGCCTGCCTTTCCCTGAATGTTTGTGCCCACAGCTGCAATAAACCGCATTTCCTCCCCTTGATGGAAAGATGACCACCTCCGGGGTAAAATGTGGTTCAATAAAACATGATCACTTAAGAAGCTTCAAGCAATGATAAGCTGATGGGTTTCCATCGATATGGCAGACAGGGGCTGCTCAAGCTTCAAGGTTTTACTCCATGTTGAACTGTCTTGAATAGCCCTCTTACTCCATTACTCAGTCTCCTCATCTGTAAAATGGGAATAACAGTTGCCTAGTTCAAAGGTGTACTGTTAGAATTGATTAGTTCAGATGAAGCTCTCTGCAGTCCCTGTCTGAGCAGCACCACCTGATGATAATGGCTAGCTAGTGTCCTTATTACTCTAACATTCACCCATAATGCTCATCCATCAAATACAGATACAGATACAGATACTAAAATGGGCCGGGCAAGGATAGTGCCACTGCATTTGGTGGCGGTTGCCCTGAAGATAAAGCTGTCACACGCAGTTTCTCCCCAGAGCAAGCTTAAGCTAGTTGCAGTATTGATGTAGGTGATCTTCTTGCCCGGATGCACAGAGGTGCTTTAACTGGAGCTAATTATGGCGAGCAATAATGGCAGAGCCAAGAACTCACCTTGATGGTGATGAGACGCTCAAAGAGACTATTTCTGAACCACATCATCAGGAAGAATTTTCTGCACCATTGGTGTGGGTAGCTTTCTGAACAACATCAGGGCACCTCAAGAAAGATGGTTGTGATATTCTTCTAGAAAGGAAGAGTACCAGAAAGAATAGTTATGCTTGAAAATTGTCCTCTGTTAGATCCATGGTTTATTTATATTGGCCAGTTTTATTTTGTCTGTGTGTTTTTCCTCATACAAATGTCATGTTCCTTGCATTGGAATGAAGGGACAAAAATAATTGACACATGGTATAATTGAAATGGAGCCTCCCAACACGATAGGCTCTTTTTAAGAGTCACAAAGCAGGGGCTGGGGATTTAGCTCAGCGGCATAAGCGCCTGCCTTGCAAGCAGGCAGTCGTGAGTTTGGTCCCTGGTACCGATAAAAATGAAAAAGACAAAAAACAAAACAAAACAAAAAAAAATACAAAGAGTCACAAAGCAGACACCAATAAATATAATGCTTAGAGTAGGAAAGTAGAGGTTTGTGGAAGCTTGGAGTTAATGCTGAGTAGCATTTTGATGTCACATGTTTGTTACTTACAATAAAATCGTAAGCTACAGATATTTCTGATATTTCCACCCAAATACTCTCAGTGCCATGACAACCTCTTCCATGTAAGTGATCTTGTTTTCACTGGATTCTTTTGATATGATAACCTTCAAGGTAAATTCCATATTTTCAACTGTGCACAGTTGCAATCTACTCAAAACACACTAGATTAGTCAGAGCAAGTCATACTTAGTTTATGCCTTTTTTTGAAATCTTCTCCATTGAAAACCAAACCTTTATCTATCCCAGGACATTTCATATATTCTTTTTGTCTCAAATGTGCTTCTTTTCGTGATCTAGGTGACTCAATCCATGCCACTTTTCAATGTAAATATAATCTCTCCTTCCTCTCTCTTTCTCTGGCTTTCTCTCTGCAATATCCTACTTGTTATCACTTTCTCCATAGTATTTTCTACAATCTGTAATCATTCATCCACGCACTTATTCATTCATTCACTCATTCATTCATTAATTTATTTTTTTTACTGGTTCTGTCTCCTACAGAATATAAGCTCTTCGAAAGGAATAACTTGACTTTTTTCCTGCACTGGCACCAAGCAAGGTGCCTGCCATAAACAAATATAAAATGTTTAATGCTGTCAAGAAACAATTACTTTTATTGAGTACCTAGTCTGTGTTACAGATTGTGTTACATACTTTATCCACAGATCTTATTTTTCCATGCAATAGTATTAAGAGGTTGATGCTACTTAACTTTAGTTTCACACAATTAAATTCAAGCTTAGAGATGCTGAAGTTCAGAAATGGATTTAGAGAAAATTGAATTCCAACACAAGCCTCCCCAGCTCTGATGCCTTGGCTAATTTTAGAGCAACTGTTGCCTCCTTGTTTTGGAAAAATCTAAACAAAGGAGTCAGCTCTAACTCCTGCTCAACGTGGATTGGCTTGAAAGCATTTTTACTTATTTGTTTGTTTATTTGCAAATTGAATTCAAGGGAACTTGAAAGTTAAATTATTTTCACACTCCTTAAACTTCATCTAGAAAACAATGATCAGAAAACAAGCTCCAAAGGGCTGGGAATTTAGGTCAGTGGCATAAGCACCTGCCTTGCAAGTGTGTGGTTGTGAGTTCGATCCCTGGTACCCATAAAAACAAAAAAGGCAAAAAAAAAAAAAAAAAAAAAAAAAAAAAAACAAGCTCCAAATTGCTAAGTACACTTGTTAAGTACCTAGAACTTGTTGAATAGTAGCTACAAGAGAATTCATAAAAACAATGAAAGTTGTAAGACTAAACAAGACCTTTTTTTCTGTTTTTTTTTTTTTTTTGAAAATGCTTTCCACCTATTTTCAAAATATTTCTTGTCTGGAGGCATTTCCAACTTGGGCTTCTGATCATTGTTTCATAGAGGAAGTTTAGGGACTATGAACATAATTTCACTTTTAGGTTTACTTGAATTTAATTAAGAACCCTGAACATTTAACAATCTATATATCTAAACAGCAGAAATTTGTTTAATTAAACCATGAAAAGATTGTGGCTGCATGTAGATCTTTGACATTTATCATGTGATGTTTTACAAGTGGATTTAGGTAATTTCATAATTAATATAAAAACTAAAATAATTCTTAGAAAATGAAACAAATTTCAAACAGCAATGTGTTTCTCTTGTCAAAATTTATAAAAGTCACTTATGCATACACAGCAGGATTTTCTTCAATGATGTATGTTTTTCCTGAAAGATACAGCTTTCTTCAGGGTTATTTTGCTGAAAGTTTTCCATTTGCCTAACGAGTAGTTAAGATAAGCTAAAATAAAGATGTGGATAAATTTAAGTCATCAAACCTCATCCAAAACAATCAAAAGAACCATAAAGAACCATCAAGGAGGAATTTGATCTATTCATTGTACTGTTTATTTATGGTGGCAACTCCACATGAAATTAGAGGAAGAAAAAGAAATACTGATAAAGGAAATAGTTCTGGCACTTCTAGACCCTGTCTTCAACTTACTGGTGATGAAAGGAATTAAGAAATTAATAGGGATACATTTTAGGTTACACTTTCTGGATTAAAAACCACTGGGGTAGGGCTGGGGGTTTAGCTCAGCGGCATAAGCACCTGCCTTCAAGCAGGCGGTTGTGAGTTCAATCACCAGTACCGATAAAAAAACCACTGGGACAGAAGAAATCAATACAGTGTTTGCTAAGTTATTTTGTGTGCCAGCCTAGTACCAGATGATTTTCTTGCACACTCATAAGGATTCTGACTACAACCCCTGGCAATAGGAACTGTGCAAGTATGAGGCACAGAGAGTTTAAGTAACTCTTAAAACACCACATGGATTAAGAAGTTAGAAAGACTTGATTTGTTTTTAATTAGCAGGTTCATGTTGCCTCCAATACACCACGCAGGACATTTGGAAAACAATATTTGTAACATAATGCATAATTTTCCAAAGGGCCAGAGGTGTGCAAATAGGAGCTTTGTTTTGTTTTCTTTTTTGCTGACTTTATGATAAGATGGTCTTTTTCTTCAAATTTTAATGTGCTATGTCAGGAGAAAATACATAATGAGTGCTCTGGATTTTCTGTCTTTTGAGCTGATTCTGTAAGATGTGTCACATGTCTCTTCCTTAGAGAGAGTAATTAATGGGGTGTATTGTTATTTCCAAATGATATCATCTCTGGCAAAATTTTCCTTTCGGGCACACGGTGTGGGTGTAGGACAGGGAAGCTAAGGGCACTTGCAAATTTCTACATCAATACTGAGCAATTTCCCAATAGAATGGTACAGGAAAACATTAATCATTCAATGGGAAATACCTTTCATCTTCATACAGAGATTTTCATCCTAAGTTGCAGCGACAATTTCTTTGGAAAGATCTTGCTTCTCAGTTGTCTGGCTGTAGTTTTCCAGTATATAAGGTGAGGTGGGGTGTGACAGGACACAGTGTGTGGATCATTTACCAAGAGCATAACTGCTCCTTTTGTTGGCTTGGTGTGCATTTAATCAGTGCTCTGCAAGGCTGCATAGGGATTACTATTTTCTCCTCTCAGGTAAACATTATGCTTGGTTACAGAGGTGAAAGACATATCAAAATAGAGGGGGAAAGATGTACCTCATTTTATTACTCTTTTGGGTAATAGTAGTAAAAGTTTGTGAGGAGTATTGTATACAGTGAAACAATCGTCTGTCAAAGGGTAAATTTACTGAACACCAATGTCTGTTTTTAAAAGATCCCCTGTGTGTCATGAAGTACACTGTGTTCATAAAAAGTTCTACTCCAGGGTTAGACATTGTTGCTTCCTCAATTACTGGAGTTTTCTGATCTCTCCAAGGAAGGAGGAGTAAACATTTATTGTCAGGAAATATAGGTCGCACTTTGTCCTAAGCTTTGGCACATTCATTAGCCCCAACCCAATTTCCAATTACTGAATCCATAAAGAACCAGCAACAAACCCACAAATGAACAGAACTGATCACAAAACAGTTAAAAGACATGATGGAAAGAGAGAAAAACTACAATAAATATAACCAGGAATTGTGCAGTGCTGTTTTGAAAACTCTATTCTTTCCTGTCACTTTAGTTCATTGTATCCCTCTGATGAATGATACCTGGAGTTATATTTGAGCCATCAATTACTCTGATTGATTATTTAGTATCTTATATCATAAGAAAATAAGCATTGCTATACCTTAAATGTTAGTCTTTAGTGGAGAACTGATGCAACTCATGTAGTCGATGAGGAAGAAGGAAGAAATTAAAATCTCTCATGATAAATGGGTGGGATAGAGGATGCTTAGATAACAGTGCACATGCTTAGAAGGTATCTCCAAAGGAAGGTAAGAAGGCAGTTTGTATGGCATGGTTACTCAGAAATTCTCTTTTGAAAACCAGTAAAAATTAGATGAAAGTCCAGTAAAACTGTATAAAATACCTATTCTGACAGCTTCAGCTCTGGTTTTTGAGCTAATTCAGTGTTACTGTCCACAGAGAAACACCCCGGATTCGCATGCGTAGAACAGAGGTGCTGGAAGCATGAACAGTTTAGAACCAGGAAATGGTGTTTTAGTGCATTCAGGCTACTGTGATAAAATACCATGAACTGGGTTTTTGGTGTTTTGCTTCTCACAGATCTGAAGGCTACAAAGTCCAACATCAAGGTGCTGGCAGATTGGGTGTCTGGCAAGGGCCACCTTTCTGATTTATAAAGCATAATGTCTTCATGTAGTCAGCGGTAGGAACCAGGGCCCTCTTGGCTAAAGTCACTAATTGCACTAATGAGAAAAGAGAGCTTGTGACCTGGTTACGTCCCAAACACACCAGTTTCCTAAATCCATACCTTAGGGTTAGGATTTCATACTTTCCACTTTGGGCACATAAAAATGCAGACCATAGCAAATGATGATTTTAGTAAACTGAGCTCAAGGTATAGAGTAATTTAGACTGAATAGTTCATTGTGCCACAGTCTCAGAGAGGCTCCACAATACTACAGATGACATCTTCAGATACTCTGTCAGGTTCTTAAGATAAGGCTCCAAGAAAAATATCCCCAAGAGTCTGGCAGGAAAGAGGAAGTTTGTAAAATGTACCCAGAATCGTCCATAGTCCTTAATCCTATGGCTCGCCTTAGAACTTTCCCCATGGCAAAGTCTTCTCATTAGGTGAATGGTTTTCCAGAGTCTTATCCATGTAGAAGGCAGAATTCTTCCTACTCCAGGCCCCTGCCAGCTGCTGATCTCACCTGCGGGAGGAAATACCAGAACCTGTCTAGTACTGCAAGAAAACAGAGTAGTGATAGTGCCTTTATGAAGGGAACAGGTGGCTACGGGAGAAAGGTCATAGTGAAGGACCTAAGCTGTGATGGTCTCAGCCCTTAGAGCAAGGCGTGGGATTGAATTGAAGGCTGTAATAC